TTGATTTATTTGTAATTTCATCTCAACGGGAATGTGTATACAAATATTAATTTTAACATGTGATCCAAATATTAAGTCTATAACATTAAGGCGAAAAATATAATATTTGTATCAGTTTGAATTTGATTTATATTCTTTTATTATAAAAGTGAAAATATACATAATATTGCAATAATTGAAATTTGTTGCTACGATTTACAAACAGATTTTTTTTTTCATCGCTAATTGTTGGTAATTTGTTTAGAAAGGATTTATTTGATCTAGTAGTTGATTACCAAACCAACCCGCCCCTGATCACCCCCCGATCCTAACCAAATTTCTTAGCCCATGACCTTGTACCCGATCCTATGTGTTATGAGTTTTTTTTTTAGTGACATATATGCTAAAATTATTAATTATTTTTTTTTAAATGACATATAGTTATTGCTAAAACTTAAGAAGAATGACAATATTGTTATGCATATTAATTATGTTTTTTAGAAATTTTTGTCACAAAATATCACATTTAATTTGACTCAAATATTTGTATTATATTTTGATTTTTAACACACACACACATATATATTTTGTAATGATAAATAATTCTTTTGTGACAAATTAGTTTGTAATTATAGCATGTATTACTAAATGTAGTGACTAAAGTTTTTTATGACAAATATGGTTTGCCACGATAAACAATTTATCTCGGTGTTTAAATTTTGACTCAAACATTTTGTCATTAATACCTCCATTTTAACATATATTATGACAATTTATTTTTGTAACAATAAATAAATTCTTTTGTAACAAAATAATTTGTAGTTATAGCATGTATAACTAAATATGGTGACTAAAATGTTTTATAACAATATATGTTTGTCACAATAAATAATTTACCTAGGTGCCAAAATTTGGCACCAAAAATTTGTGACGAAATATTATGATAAAATTGTGTTTCTTCAATATGTTTCTTATGGATTTCTTTATTGTGATAAAATATTATGACAATATTTTTTTTAGTCACTATATATTCCCTTTGTCATAGTTAATGTGATGTTTTTTTATTTTGTCATAATATCTATATTACTTGTGACGAAATAGCTTTTGATAAAATTAATTTTGTCACAATATAATATATTTCTTGTAGTGAGGTGAGGACGCGGTCGGATGGGCGTTGGCAAGCGAGGAGCTATAGCTACACTGTCCACTGTTTTGGATAACTTTTACAAATGATACCTTACTTTGTATAAAGAATGATTATATGTAATAAAAAAAAATTTCGGGCCCATTTACTTTTGCTAATATAAATGCATTTTACTTTATGTATTCCTATGAGTAACCTAGTATGAAGCAGTTATTACAGTTTCTTATTGAAATTCTGTGTCTTTTCATTTCTACACTAAAACATCATGCATGGATTTCATTTTTCCCATATAACAAGAAATTAAGGTAAATTGTTACGTCCATGTTCGTGAATACGCCCTGCTGCAGGTGTACTTTGATCCAGTAGCTCTGGTTTAGTTTAAATACAATATGGCGAATATAAATTTCTAAGGTTTTGCTACGTTGCAGGGGATGTGAGAGCCACCGACAGTTTTTTTGGTTTTTTTTTTAATTTTTTTTTAAGAATATCAATACATAATAAGATTGAATATTGCTTAAGTTGTATAGATTGTTTTTGGAATATTATTTTAGCATGAAATATCATATCCTTATTGACTGGCTAAAATCGAAGAACATGGAACAATTGGGATGTTTTCATTTTTCGAACTCAAAGATCCTGGGAGGCAAAACCAACAGGAAACGAGATACTAAATCCATTTTATGTCTTCCATGCATATTTTCTCTCCCTTTGTCTCTTTCATTCCATTCCCGTTGTAAAATCCCATTCTAATTATATATATATTCGCTTTGGTTTTGTTTATAAGGAGGGACTTTTCTGTCAAATTTTAAAGTTTGTTTAGCGGTGAAAATGAAGAAATGGAAATTGTTGGGTTTGCATGTAGCAAGGGCACAAAATCTGGGTGTTTTTGTAAGGAAAAGATGATGTGGCAGGGTTATATTAGAATTAAGAGAATTTGGGGGCTGTTGTAAGAAAAAAAAAATTGTTTTATATAAATTTGGGCTGCTCGCCCAAATGAAGAAGAAGAAAGTGGAGAGAAAGAAAAGAAAGAGAGAAAGGAAGAGAGAGACGGAAGAAGGAAGAGAGAACATTTGGCTGAGAAAAGGAAGGGAAGAGGAGAGAAAAAGAGGAAGAAAAAGATAAATGAGGGAGAGAAAGTGAGGTGAAGAGAAGGATGATGCTTGGGGTAGCTGGGTATTTCGGGTTGAGCTGAATTTTTTTAGTGTGAGTGGTTTCTTTAAAACTTTTCCAAAAATCTAAACTTTTTTTTTTCGATTGCTTGTTAAGTGAATGTATTATCTCATGCTGTTTGATACAACTTACTGTTGACTGTGGCTTTCCTTGCTTGCATGTGTTTGGCTGAACATGGAATGAGTGAAACTGCATCAGATCTGGTCCTAATGAAATATACTTGTGTTGCATGTCACTAGATCTTTCCTAAAAACACAAGACTCATGTTTGTACATTGATTTCTTATTGAGAGTCTTGTTATTTTGTGAAACTAATTAAAAATCCTCCCTTCATGCTTCGGCCAGGTTGTAACCAATGTTAGTGTAAGTTAATCAAAAGCTGATTTGTGTTGCTGGATAATATGCTTGGTTGTCTTTGGCTGGACAGTAGACTTGATGGTGTTGGAAGCATGCTTTAAATAATGAATAAATGGGTCTGCTGTGATTTCTTTTATTCTCCTATTTATATAAGTAGAACTCGCCTGAACCGGTTGGAATTATTGCACTAGTTTTGGTCTATAAATGTGTGACTTCATGCAGCATGTTTTTGGTATGAAAAGGGATGGTTTCGTGGAATTTTTATAATGGAATGTGTGCTTATAATGAGATGGAAATGGCATTATAAAGAGGAATTAAATTTTGGCTGGTTAACATGCTTGGAAAGGCTGAAATTTTTTACTCTAGAATAAAATAATCACAAGTGTTTTCTTGCTTGTTCTAGACATGGGGAAGTTTCTTTTTACTTGTAAATGAAGTGCTGTAAATGAGGTGTTTGGCTTGGTGTAATATAGGTGATTAAAAGGCAGGTCAAAGGGAGTTATTTAATGTCCAAGAAGATTTTATTTTAGTTTATTTTATTCAATTATTTGTGCAAATAACCGTGAAGGCACAAAGAGAATTTTAAATACTTTGTTTATTCATGTTTATTTTATTCTAGTATGAAATATTATTATTATTATTATTATTATTATTATTATTATTATTATTATTTGCTCTTTGGTTTAATTATAATTATGATGTGTTATATGAGTTTTGGCTTTTAAAAGTGATATTTGCTTATGATTAGTATCGGGCATATGCTAAGATCATGTGATGTTGAAGTAATTTTTAATATGGGTTAAACCATTAGTTTCTGAAACATGTTTAGAAAATTGCAGTTTCACCCCTATATGTGACTTTTGAATATTATGGCATATATGCATGATTTATAAGCACTTGTATAATATGCTCTTAAATTATATGTTACTTGAGATTATGAATGAGATATTTGTGGTGCTACAACCACCATACGAAGTACCCATCCCCTAGTTTCAAGCTCTGCCCATGCGATGCAAGATTCGCTGGGTATTGAGATATTCGGTCTTCAGGCTTTGCGCATGCGTATTGAGATATTTAGTGCTCTGCCTGGGCGTTGAGTTTGTCCGCCATGTATTGAGATGGTTTTCTTTAGGCTCTGCCCGCGCGATGATAGATCTTGCCGGGTATTGAGATGTATTTCTCAGCTCTGCCTGTATGTGGGATGCCCACCAGGTATCGAGATTTTTCCCCAGGGTACTAGTTGTGGTGAGAACTTTTAGTATCAGTTTACTATTTCGAAACAGGATATTAGTTTAAAGTTTTCAGATACCAGCCGACAGTTTTCAGTATCAGTTAATAGTTTCAGTTTTCAGTATCTGATGGATAGTTTGCATTAGTTATATGAAACATTTGATGTTGCAGCATGATTTATAGAAAACATAGTCTTAAAAAGCATAAGCATTTACAAATATTCTTTAAGTTCTCATAAAAGAATTTTCAGCATTTAGTGATGAGCTAGGATTCAGAAATTGTTGTCAGTTTAATTGATCAGATTATAATACTTAGAACAATTAGAAATGAGTTATGCATGCATACATGGATGATTAGCTGCCACCATAAAAGAATGTTCATGAAATCATGTTGTTTTCTGTATTTTATAAGAACCATTGCATGCCATAACTTTTGTTTGACGAATGTTTTGCAAACTTCCCCTTTCCCCTACTCACTGAGTATTTCAGCTCACCCCTTTTTAAATGTTTTCCCCCCCTCACCAGGACCTTTCGGAGATCGTGCCGAGCAATGAGCCTCCACTCAGGGCTGTGCCACGCGTCGACATCTTTTCATGTGGGTTTTATATTTATGTCGCATTGTATTTTGGACTTTCGTTTCAAGAACTCATGTTTCTCATCATGTATTTCCTTTTGTTTCATGTTTTGGAATGTATAGTATAAGTGGAAAACCTGATACCACAAGTTTCCCTAAATCTTTTCTTTTGTAAAACGAAAGATGGTGTATGTTTTTGAGATGTTGGAAATGGAAATACTATGATGTTATTCAAAAAAAGTAAGGCCTTTAACAGGTTTCACAGTTTTTCTACATGGCACGTCTCGGGTATCTGAGTCTTGTGGGAGCGCCTGGATCTTACGGGATGAGGAAATTCGGGACGGGTCGTGTCACCCATCACCACCCATACATTGAAGCTCGCTCGATCAATGTTTCTGAAGAAAAAAGAATAGCGAGATTTATAATTATTGTTGCAATTAAATGAAACAAATCATTCATGAAATATGATTAATTCCTATATAAACACCTTTTTATTTATTAATAGCATGAAACTAACTAATAAATTTTTTATTTTCTCATAATCGTTAATGCAGGAGCCCGGTCCTGAAGCTGAGAAGAGAATTGACACGCTGAAAGAAGATGTAAGAAAGATGCTAAGCAATGCAGCAGGAAAAGCAACATTGGAAGAACTATCGACTCTTATTGATAATCTTCAACGCCTTGGCGTGGCATATCACTTTGAATATCAGATCAGCCAGGCCTTACAGTCAATTTACAACAACTATGTTGATAGCAACAATATTAATGGTAGTGATGACGATGATCTGTATACAATTGCTCTTCGCTTCCGGCTTCTAAGGCAACACGGTAATTCTGTGTCATCAGGTAAATATTATCATCTCTATAATTAACTTGTTATTCACTTCAATTACTGACATTTGGTTTAAACAGATGTATTCAAAAAGTACGTTGATGATAACGGTGAATTTAAGGCCACATTGTCAAATGATGCAAGAGCTTTGTTGTGTTTGTTTGAATCATCGAATTTGGGAAAGGAAGGAGAAGACATATTGGAACAACTCCAGCGAGTTTCTACTAGGCAATTGAAATTAATGTTGCCTCATTTAAACTCTTCTTTCGCTGAGGAAGTGAATCGCACCCTAGAGCCACCCTTGCACAAAAGGATGCCGAGATTAGAAGCAAGGCAATATATCTCTATCTATGAAGCAGATGCAGCTCGAAACGACCTATTATTGGAGATAGCGAAGTTAGATTTCAATTCCTTACAGAAATTGCACTGGACAGAGCTCTGTGACCTCTCAAGGTTATAATTTCTTAAATTTTGAATTGTATGTTTATTATTTCATATGTTAAAATACATGTTTAATAAAATATTCAACAATTTTACCTATCTTTGAAATATTGTTGGTATATAAATTATTTGAAAACTGCTTTTTAAAAAAAATTTCAACAAATTTTTTTTTTTAAAATTTTCTATATCCTTCACTTAAAAAATAAAATGTTGGATCTTAATTACACTAAAATGACCCCATGTTCTCAATCTTAATTCTTCTCTGCTTGCGCGTGCTTATATGATTTATGTAGTCATTAAATTTCTGTAGGAAATTGGTTTTTTTTGTTTTAATGTGATTTTCAGGTGGTGGAAAGCCATCTATTTTGCGACAAAGCTATCTTTTGCAAGGGATAGGTTGGTGGAGTGCTACTTCTGGATTTTGGGAGTTCATTTTGAGCCCAAACAGTCATCAGTAGAAAATACATGACCAAAATAGTCGCAATAGCCTCTGTCATAGATGATATCTATGATGTATATGGCACCCTGGATGAACTCAAAGTATTCACTAATGCAATTGAGAGGTATTAATTGGCACCAGAATAATTATTATAAATAAAAGTTTACATCATTATGCTTATAATTTATATATATATATGGCGTTCAGGTGGGAAGTTTTGGCTGCAAATGATTTACCCGAATATATGCAAGTATGTTACTTTGCCCTCTTAGTCGTTGTGAAGGAAATGGAGGACAACCTGGTGAATGAAGGACGATCTTATCGTGTACATTATGCAAAAGAGGCAGTAAGATCTCTAAAATAATCAATGAGATCAATATATATTATCATTGCAATTGTAGAAGATTGATTAAATTTGATTACTTTTCTTAGATGAAAGCCCTGGTCAGAGCTTACTTTGTGGAAGCAATCTGGTTCAACACAAAGTATGTGCCAACATTTGAAGAATACTTGGAGATTTCCGTGATGAGCAGTGGATACCCTATGCTTTCTGTTCAAGCTCTTGTAGGTTTAGAAGAAGTAGCAACTAAGGAAGCCTTCGATTGGGCTATTAGTGTTCCCAGAATCCTCAGGTCTTCTGCCTTAATTGCTCGTCTCGTTGATGACATCCATACTTACAAGGTAGGAGATACTCATCATCAAATAGAACTAAAAATATAAATATAAATTGGTCTAACATTTAAAATTTGTTTCTATATATAACGTTAATTAGGTTGAGGAAGAGAGAGGGGATGCGCCATCAGGAGTGCAATGCTACATGAAAGATCACAATGTGTCCGAGGAAGAAGCATGCAAGAAAATAAAAGAAATGGTGGACATTGCATGGAAAAATATCAATGAAGAAATTCAAGAACCAAACCATCCTCCTTTGCCGCTTCTTCTTCCATCTCTAAATCTAGCTCGAATGATGGAGGTGTTATATCAGAATGGAGATTGTTACACCAACTCCTCGGGGAAAACCAAGAAGAGAATTACATCAGTACTTGTTGATCCTATTCCCATGTGATCATGTACATCTTATTTATTTGATTTCCAATAGAATTTATTATCATAATATTATGAACTAAAAAGTACTACTGCAATGTCTTCATATAGATTTTGAAATGCTGTAATAAGTAATAACCACCATGATGGTGATGATGACCTTTACTAATAATTTTGCAATTCAAGGCCCCTGTTGTATATCAAGTCCAATTTTCTGGCCCAAATTCTAATCTTTCAAGATGATAAGGGCAAAAAAGTAAGTACTGCAAAAGTACGTTATCATAAGACAAAATTATCCTTAACAAGGCTTTTCTCCATCACGTGACAACGGGATAATATCATTTAGATCCTAAGATTTGGCTTAAATAAAATTTCATCCTATTAAATTGTTATTAACGTTTTGATCCCTATCAGTGTGGGCAAAACTTTGGTGCCTGAGGTTTTTCTAATGCTAGGACCAACATGATACTAATAGTCTTATAGGGACTAAAATGTTATTAACTAGTTCTACGAGAATAAAGGGACTAAAGCAAAACCTCATGGGGATGACATTGTATCTTTCCCAAAAGAGTAAACGACATGCTCCCACCCAAGATTTAGCCATACTCTGTTGGTACCCTTGCTTTCATAAACCCCAAATTCCCACCCTTAAGGTCTGCTTGGGAGTTTAATGGTAGCGGTTAATTATAAGGGTAAACTATCGTAGCGATTTTGAGGGTAAACCACCGTAGCAATTTTGAGAGGTTTTTAGTAGCGGTTTTTAAAACACCCAACCTATGCTTGGGAGTTTATTATCCAGCGGTTCTGACAGTTTTTTAAAATGATAAATTTACATATATGCCCATAAAAATACCCCAACTTAAACCAATACTTGGGAGTTTTTTTTTTTTCAATTACCAATACTTAGTATCAAAGTTCCTTCCAAATTTAATTTATTTGTAAGTTCTTTCATTTTATTAAGGGGAGCTATGTTGTTGAGGGAAGGCATGGAGCTACCTACGATAATAATGTTACAGTTTGCTTTGTTACAATCAAACATTTAAATGAAGAGAAGTACAAATCAATAAATTACAATGTTGTCTATCTTTCGCTTTCTTCACACAAACACAACCGAACAAAGTTAAAACACTCTCTCTTTTGCTGAATTAACTTTGATAAATACAGATAATGCCTACATTATTTGTTTTTATTTTCTTTCTCTCCAATCAAACAAGAGGACAAAAACACCCAGGTTCTTATGCAACCAATAAAAACAATATGGTAATATCTCATTTTCATGTCATACATATTCTTCCTTTCCTTTTTATTCAATGTATTCCTTCTAATCCTATTGTAAAATTACTATGTACATTGTGAATAATTGTACATGAAATTTTAGGGCACATCAATCTCAAAGAAGTCACAATATCTCAAATGTGATTAATTTTACCACTAACTGAAAACCTATTACAAATCTAGGTCAAATCAATTAAGAAGAACAAAGGATCCTTCCCTCATTTAGGCATGGCATGGTAAACCCAAACAAAAAAATGAGAGCGAAAGAGACAAACAAACCTTGTTGAGAGAATTGAAGAAGTTGGAGAAGGAAGAATCAAACGAAATTCAGTCTTTTCCTTTGGCCCTCTATTCTGTGACTTTTTTTTTAGCAGCAAAGGGATTATAGTATATCACGAAATAATAGTGGAAATGGGTTTTTTTGGGATAAAATTATTAATCCGGCCAAAACACCTGGATTTGGGGTGTTTTATAAACCCCTCAAAAATACATTACATTGGTTTTGGGGGGTTTTTAAACCAGTCAAAACCAGTCTATAAAAAATCTGGCAAGTAATGGTTTTAGAACACCTCAAAACCAGTTTAATTAAAAACCCCTCAAAACCAGTGAAAAAAAAAAAAACTCCCAAGCAGACCCTTGAACTAACAGCAAATCGTTTAACTTAATGGTCAAAGGGCAAAGTAGTCATTTGCAATGTCGTTCGCTGATCGCTGCCTTTCATTCGTTTTGGTGCGGCTTAAGCTTTTTCGATCGATCTCGTCACAAGAAATCATCCCTAACGCGTGTAGTGTGTTGTGTTCTAGGTTGGGATGTTGAGTGAGGCATTTCTTCAAACAGGTGGTGGGTGTGATCTGGATATGAGAGGTTGTGTTGGTAGGGGTTTTCTGATGACCAATGTACACACAACAATCACAACTGAACACAACAACATTGCCAAAGGTGAAGGAGGAATGAGGTAATTATGCAGTGAAAGGGGTGGGTCGCAAAATGCGATTGTTGCATGGTGATGTATGCAGTTCGCGAACGACAAACGAAAACTGGGGATAGTTGGTAGGGGTAAGTGTTTTTTTGAGGAAAGGATGGCAGTTCAAGTGGTGGTTTCCGGTGTCAAAATGGATTGGAATCTGACCTGAAAAACAAGAAAACAGGTAAAGGGGTAGTGGCCATCAGGCGGCGATTTGAGGGTGCATCGGGTAAGGAAAGTTATGGGTTTTTTTGAGGAGAGGATGGGGGTTCGAGTGGTGGTGTCAGTGGTGGTTTCTGGTGTAAAAAACAACTATAATCTACCTAAAAAGGGGGAAAACGTGCAAAAGGGCAATGGTCGTCGTGTGGCGATTTGAGGGTGCACTAGGGAAGGAAAGTTAGGAGTTTTGTAGTGGGTGATGTGGGGAATTTGATGGAAGTGTCAGAGGGACATGGTGATGTGGGGAAAATGCGCAAAGGGCAAGTGCGGGTGACAGTGACGAAGAGGAATGGAGATGGAGAAAAAGAAGTTTGAGGGCAGTTTTGTAAAAGCACATCTACTCTTGTGTCAGATGTCATCTATCACTAGCGATGTCCATTTAAGGGTGGTAATCTAGAAATTATGAAACTACGGGTACCAACCGACTATTTTGCTAAACCTTGGGTAGGAATATGTTGTTTACTCTTCCCAACATGGAGCATATCTCGGTCATTACATCAAGTAATTTATTATAAATAAAGGCTGAATCTATAATTTGACAAAGAATTTCGTTTATATAATTTCACTCGCTGGAAACCTAACAAAAATCAATTGAATTCGTCCCTAACATTATTAAGTATAGACCATCGAGGGGTTTTAGCTTAAACCCATAATGGCTATGAGGGCAGTGGCGGCACATCGCGGCTTGAGGTGTTAGATTTATCACAACAAGCCACCTCAGACAAATGCTCCAACTCGGCTATAATATCTCAGCACAATAAGGATGATTCTAGAATACCATGAGCTGTAATTCTATTTCATACAGTCTGTACAAATTAGTTAGAATTTTGATTCCTTTATTTGATTTTTTGTAATTACTATAAATAGATAGCTCAACACGTTGTAAAGGATTAAATCGAATAGTGCAAGCAATATTTTCAACAACCAATTGTTTCTATACATTTTCGTTTGTCTCTCTCTGCTTCCCTGCAAATACCAAGGTTACCAAAACCGTTATGGTATCAGAGCTATAACAATGGCTTTCGAAGATAAAAAACCCTTTATCAACCTCAACCCAAAAGTACTTGGCTTCAAAATGCAATGTCTCTTGAGATAAAAAACAACATTGTTTATGTTGAGACTGCCAATGAACTATGGCTTGAACTTGAGCAACGTTTTGCCCAAAACAATGGGCTATGAATCTTTGAATTGAAGCAATCCATTCACATTATTAACCAAGGTGATGATTCTGTCAGCCTTTACCTCTCTAAGTTGAAAAGTTTATTTGATGAACTTCTCAATTTTGAATTTATTCCATCGTGTACATATGGTGCCATGAAACCTGTGCTTGAGAACCAACAACGTGACTGGATGATGAAATTCCTCATGGGGCTCAATGATTCCATCAACAACATCAAAGCTTAGATTATCCTCCTCAAACCCATTCCATCTTTGAGTGAAGTTTATCTCTTGTTCAACAAGAAGAGAGGCATAAGCTACCAGAACTCATTATCCACCCACTCGAGACAACCCCAAATCTTTTACTTCCCAACGACGAGACAAATTTTTTTGCACTTTCTGCAAAGTCTCAAGCCATTCTCTGGAAAAATGTTTTAAGGCTAATCCAAACCTTGAGAAACCCACATGTACACACTGTAATCTCGTTGGACACACTACAGAAAGAAGTTACAAATTACATGGCTATCCCCCTGGCCATAAGCTTGTCAATCGATCCAAAGGACCTGACCCTTATGTTAACCAAATTAGTCTCTCCAACCAAGAACAGGTCAGTGAGAAATCTCAAGCAGTTCTAACTCAAGCGCAATATCAACATATCATTGCTTTACTCCAGTCTTAAGCTACACAACCAGTGGCAAATCAAGTTCAGTCCATTGATCCATCCCCAGTCTGCCCTTCACCTTCCACCTTCTCTAGTATAGCTTCCTGCTTTCTAGTCTCTAATACAACATTTTCACATTATATTCCTTGGATCATAGACACGAGTGCAACAGATCACATGATCTGTTGCACCTCCATTTATACTTCCTTACCATCCATAGTTGATTTTAAAGTCAGATTTCCAAATGGTAATCATGCCAATGTTACCCATAAGGGTATTGTTAAAATCAATTTTGTCATTACTCTCAAAGATGTTTTATGCATCCCATCTTTTAATTTCAATCTCTTTGAGCCAAAAAATTAATCCAGGACATTAATTGTTGCTTTGTTTTCTTCGCTAATGAATGCTATGCGCAGGACCTTTTCTCTTGGAGCACGATTGGGAAGGGTGAGGCTGTTAACGGTCTTTACCATCTTCAACTGACAGGAGTGCCTCCCACAGCCCTATCTTCCATTTTATCCGCTTTACCCTTTAATAAATTATCTGTTTTTGCCTCTGTTACTTCCCAGTAAAGTTCCCACAGCTTATGGCATTGTAGAATGGGTCACTTGTCTGACTCACCCTTATCTTTGTTACAAAAGGATTTATCTCACTTAACTTCTATGGATTCTATTGTTCCATGCTCTACATGTCATTTATCAAAACATCACAGGTTACCTTTTCCTATCAGTGAAAATCGCGCTTCTAAACCTTTTGAACTCATCCATTGTGACATTTGGGGGCCATATTCCCAAATGGCATATGATGGATCAAAATATTTCTTAACAATCGTTGATGACTTTACCAAATCCACTTGGGTCTATTTAATGAAAACTGCAATCTTTTTGCTCACTAATTGAAACACAATTCCAAACAAAACTTAAAGCTTTTCGATCTGATAATGGAAATGAATTTTCAATGACTGATTTCTTCATGCAAAAAGGAATTATCCATAAAAAAAACTTGTGTGGAAACCCCCCAACAAAATGGGGCTGTGGAACGCAAGCACCAACATATTTTAAATGTTGCTAGCGCCTTAAAATTTCAATCTGGTGTTCCCTTATCTTTTTGGAATGATTGCATTTTAACCACTACCTATCTTATTAACAGAACATCATCCCCAAATTTACAAAATCATAGTCCATACCAACTTCTTTTTCAAACCAAACCAACCTATCAACACTTGAGAACCTTCAGGTGTCTTTGCTATGCATCTACATTAAAACAAAATAGACACAAATTTGACCATAGAGCAAGGAAATGCATTATGCTTGGATATCCATTCAGAATCAAAGGCTACAAATTATTTGATCTAAACAACCGATCCATTTTTTACTCTAGAGATGTCACTTTCTATGAACACATATTTCCCTCTAAAATTGGCCAATCCTCTCCCACACCTCAATTTCCATCCCTAGGTACTAACATCATCACTCAGCCCTAACAATTACAATCTAATACTCTCATATCAAATACACAATCATAGCAAGATATTATCATAGAACACATAGCAACACAACCCACTTCTTCCATCCCTTCGAATATTATCACAGATCCTCCCATTTCCCCTACTCTACCTGATATTTCATTTCAAACACAACCTCCTCCCCGCAAATCAAACAGACCAAAAAAATCCCCTGATTATCTTCAGGACTACTCCTGTCAACAAGTCATTGCACCCACTACTTCTCTTTCAAGCTCCAAGATCAAAGGTAATTCACTTACTAATCATTTTTATCCCTTACATTCTGTCTTGTCTCATGCTAAATTATCTCCTAACCATGCTGCATTTGCCATTTCAATTCTTAATCATATTGAACCCTCCATTTATGCACAAGTTGTAAAAAGCTTAGACTGGCATAATGCAATGGATAATGAGATTACTGCTTTAGAATTGAACAAGACTTGGGATGTTACTGATCTGTCTATTGGGAAGAAGACCATTGGTTCAAAATGGGTTTACAGAATTAATTATAATTAAGATGGAACCATTAAGCGGCACAAGGCACGTTTAGTTGCCAAAGGATATACCCAAGAAAAAGGCCTTGATTACCATGAGACATTCTCACTTGTAGCCAAACTTGTAATGATAAAAACCTTGCTTGCCATGGCTGCCATCAAAGGGTGGAAACTCCATCAATTCGATGTTCATAATGCATTTTTACATCGCGATTTGGATGAAGAAGTGTATATGAAAATACCTCCTGGTTATTCAATTCAAGGACAGAACAAGGTTTGCAAATTAAACAAAAGTATGTATGGTCTCAAACAGGCATCACGTCAATGGTATGCCAAATTCTCATCCTCCTTATTACAATTTGGATTTACCCAATCAAAAGCTGATTATAGACTCTTTACTAAAGGAAGTGGTTCATCTTTTTTAGCACTACTTGTATATGTTGTCTATATCGTTGTAGCTTCCAATGATCACCATGGCATTTTAGCTCTCAAAGCTTTTCTAACATCAAAATTTAAGATCAAAGATGTCGGCACACTCAAGTATTTTCTTGGTTTGGAGGTAGCCCGAAACTTGAATGGCATTCAATTATGCCAAAGGAAATATTGTTTGGACATTCTTGACGATGCTGGTTTAACTTTCTGCAAGCCTAGTTCAATTCCCATGGACCCAAGTCTCAAACTTAACAAGGATGAAGGAAAATTGCTACATGATCCATCAGAATTTAGAAGGCTCATTGGAAGACTCCTCTACTTAACAATCACACGACATGACCTTTCATTCTCTGTCAACCTGCTCAGTCAATACATGAGTGCCCGTTCCATATCTTCAAGCAGCTTACAAGGTGCTGCATTATGTAAAGAAATCACCTGGTCAAGGATTAATATTTCCTACATCATCTGCTTGTCAATTAACATCTTATTGTGATTCCGATTGGGCATCGTGCCTAGATACAATAAGATCTACAACTGGCTATTGTGTATTTCTCTGGCAATCACTCATTTCGTGGAAATGCAAGAAGCAAACCACCATCTCTCGCAGTTCAGCTGAGGTAGAGTACCAATCTATGGCTGCTACTTCTTGTGAGCTTGTCTGATTAAAGTATTTACTTGCTGATCTCATGGTTTCTCACCCTCAGCCAACCACCCTTCACTGTGACAGCAAGTCTGCTCTACACATTGCCTCCAACCCAGTCTTCCACGAAAGGACAAAGCATATCAAATTAGATTGCCATCTAATTCGGGATAAAATTCAAGATGGTGTTATCTCAACTGCATACACACCATCTTCTTGTCAATTAGCCGATATCCTTACAAAAGCTCTCTACTCGCCATTGTTCTATTCTTTATTGTGCAAGATGGGAGTTATTGACATACACTCTCCATCATTTATCATAGCAAATGACATCACAACAAGCCACCTTAGACAAATGCTCCAGCTCGGCTATAATATCTCAACACAATAAGGATGATTCTAGAATACCATGACCTGTAATTATGTTTCATATAGTCTGTACAAATTAGTTAGAATTCTGATTCCTTTGTTTGATTCTTTGTAATTACTATAAATAGATAGCTCAACACGTTGTAAAGGAGTAAATCGAAAAGTGCAAGCAATATTTTCAACAATCAATTGTTTCTCTGCATTTTCGTTTGTCTCTCTCTGCTTTCCTGCAAATACCAGGGTTACCAAAACCATTATGAGGCGTCTCTTCTCCACTTCTTTTTTTCCTTCTTTCAACCCTCCGCTGACTGCTGCAGCCGCTTAGCAACCTAAGGCCGAGCCCAGCACCAACCTTTTTGTCTCAGGTACCTTTCTTGACTCTCTTTATTTTCCAATAACGTTCTTTATTCCTTTCTGTATTTACTTCTATTTACCCTTCTAGGTCATCAGTTTTTATTTATGTTATTTATAGATCCTCCGTTTTTTTATTTTTTATGTTATTTCTCTAAAGTTTTTTTTTTTGTTATTTGTGTCGATAAAGTTTTGATTTTGAATTTTTTTCTTATTATTATATTGTCAACATTTTAGGCTCGGATTGTTGATCTATTTGTTAAGTTAGTTCGTGATAGATTAGAAGCCTAATTTTTGTAGATCAATCTTAAAGAGGAATAAAAGCATGTTAATGAATTTTGAAATTTATTGTGAACATAATTACCGAAGTGATTAACTGGATTTGGAGTTTTGGTTTTAGACATGGTATGGTTTGCGTTCAACCTAACCTAAATCATCTGTGGCCGGATACTATGGTATTTTTCCTTGATGCAATTAAAAAATTATTTGGTTATCAGTTGTATTATTGGTATTTTATCCATTGAGTACTTTTTCTATCATGTAGAGGTTTCATATTTCTCACTTTGTAATTATCTAACAAGCATTTGTGGAGGGCTGGCAACAACATATCTTTATTAATCTCGCTTGTTCATTGTCCAACAAGATTGTTAATAACTAGGTTAAATCCTTGTGACTTCTCCCACCTGGTGGTGAAGATGCATGTATTACCTCATGGGTTTGAAATTCGCCAGATAACCTCTCCATTGATTTCTTAGTGAAACTTCTTATGTTGTTGAGATCAGTGAGAGTTTCTTAGTGAAGTGTGGTGTCAGTGACATTAAATCAATTATCACAATGATTATATTTCTTTTATAGGAAACAAAGTGAACTATATTAGTGAGACTAAAAGGAAGAACTAGAGTGGATCACTTAAGTGTCTGTCCAAAAGAACCCCTAAAAAACCATATCTGCACATTATAAGTAATCCAAAAAATTGTTTCCATAGTGTTTATTTTCTCTGTTATTCTGTGTATGATAAAATTTGTATCAAGGTTTAATACATATTACATTCTGATCAGAGATGATAGGTCTAGATTTTTTAGTGTTACGACTATGAGATTTAATATCAAGTTTTTTTTCAGGACTTAGTAAGCGCACGACTACTGAGGGACTCAAGGAAGCCTTTTCTAAGTTTGGTGAAGTGGTTCAAGGTTTGTTCTTCTTATTTAAAGCTATTTAAATCCTACCTTAATGCATGGTGGACTACTAACTATTGGTGTTTCTGCTATTCACAGCTAGGGTAATGACCGATCGAGTGTCTGGATATTCCAAGGGGTTTGGTTTTGTAAGAAATGCTACCTTGGAAAATGCTGCAAAAGGCATAGAGGGCATGGATGGCAAGGTGAGTTGACAAGACATCATATTTATTTTGTTGAAGATTATACTAATGTTTGTATATCTGAGTCAAAGTGTTTAGGAGCAATGCTCTACTCAGCTCTGTTTCTTATTTCTTATCTATTTTATTTTTCTACAATGCTCAAGTCAGCTGTATTGTCGAATATAGCTTGAAAATTTGTAGGATAGGAAGTTCCAAAGCCCATCAATCGTGGTGTAACCATGGTCAACTTAAATGCTCACACATTATGGCTACATTTGAGCTTCAGAAAGAAAGTAACGGATGAACTGTTAGATGAACTTGGAAAGTGGTAATGCCACAGCGGCTGAAATGTATAGGAAACTCCCAAGAGTTCTAAAAAAGTTATATGTAATTTAAGATTGCTATTCCTCATTTTCAAAAAATCTTCCATACCTTTCTTTCAATTTCACTAAAAAAAAATGTGTCCTTCCAAATAAAATATCTGATTCAGTGCCTGGGCACTTGGAATCTGTAGGAAGTGAAAACTGTGCATCTCAATTTTTCTGAACCTCAAGTCAGCCAAGTGAGAGGGCAACTTTCGTATTTCCTCATTGAGAAAAAAAGAGAAAGAAAACGAATTGAAGTGAGAGGTGGCTCATAGATTTTTCAATTGTCTCGCAAAATGTTTGTTGAAGCTATGTACCGTTGTGCTAAGATTGAGTTTATCACATCCTTCTACTAACTTATTCCTCACTGCATCCTTGTTGGGCACCTTTTTATTCTCTTCTATCCCTTTTTAATGTCCATTTTTATCAATATGTTCATTTTATGGGATATAACTTAAAATATATGTAGGAAAGGGGAAGAAAGTGATTAATGCTATAGAAACCATATCATTGTCTTCCTGCTCCTTTTCACTTCTGAATATTTGAATGGAGCCTCTGATTAAAATTTGGAATTTCATCAAAGATTTTGTTTTGAGCGATGTAGGGTTCTTACTCAAGCAAATTTAATGATGTCATGTCATCTTGTACAGGCTAAGCTGGATTCTTTGTAAAATACTTTCTTTTTGGCTTTTTTTAACCATGAGTTTTCTAGTTTTGATGATATTATCACCTAATTTTTCAATTTCAATATTACTGTTAATTCCTTCTGCGAAAAAATAACAATAATAAAGTTGATTCTCTCATTGTTGATGTTCCAGTTCTTTTTTTACAATCCTTTTTGGGAAATGAATTCTCTATGTCTTTTGCAGTTTCTGGATGGGTGGGTTATATTTGCAGAATACGCAAGACCCAGAGCACCTCCAGGGCCTCCACCTGAGAATTTGTCTTCTGAATATGGGGACAACATGATCCCCATATGGCCGACAGTGACTCATGCGTTCCTAAAACAAGATGGTAATCCTTCACACTGGCCTTTGTCAGTGGTCGGCCTTCCATCAATTGTAACCATGCATTTTTGGGGAACATCACTTAATACGTGAGCTGTGTGATGAATTCAGAAATATATTGATTTGAACTGATCCATGTTGGCAATATTATGTACAAGACTCTTAATTTGTTATAATTTTATCATACTGTAACTTGTTCTCACTAAACTGAAGTGAAAACTGGCTATGCATAATGGAATGATTTATATAAGGATCATTTAGCTGAAAGTGTTATTGTTTCTTTAATACGAAAAGTGAAGAAAAACAGGGTGATGTGTTCATGATATATGTGGAAAATATTTGAGATGAAGGTAGAGCCAAGTAGCTTGTGTTTTGGTGCTACATATAGTCCAGAAAAATAAAAATTTATAATACACTAAGAAAAAATGTGTTCTTAAAACTCAAACTACATAAAATTGAGAAACAAGTTGCTAATATCAAACGAAATCTGAAAGGTTTCTTGATAGCTGATGATAACCACACCAAAGGCTGAGCTTCATTTGATCCAGAAAGCGATTCATTTCTCAACACAATCATCAAGAAACTGGGAATTCTGCTGGTGGTCAGAATTAGTTCAAGATTTGTTTGAAAAAAATTTCTTTCATTGGATAGAATTTCAATCAAAGAACATTATAGTCTAATGTATTTCATCCAAACATCTTACATAAATTTTTAATGAATTCTTAAAGCTGGTTTTAACAGTGTCAGAAATGTTCTCAATCAAATCCTTTCAATTGCAAGTCATGTAAAAGTCACCCAACATTCAACATTCACTGCTCTAGAAGTTGTCAAATAATGCTAAATCTTTAAAGTGGACCACGAAAGGCATTCTTTATGTTCCCACATGTAAATTTCTTGAAAATCAATTTCTTCTTCGGCATCACCATCAGGATTTGATTCATTCAGTTGTAGTTTTGCCTACGCCATAACATGTCCAGATGAATTATAGCGACCCCGTGATAATGTAAACACACCAAGTAGACTCTCCATATTTATTGCATTGTTTCCAGGTGGGCCAAGAACCACCAAAACCATGGACAGAATTCTCTGAATAAACCAATTCCTGCACACTGGTTGCCCTGCCATGGAAGCAACTCAACAATTCTTCAACTCTGAAAGTAACTCAACACTGGATATTTAGTTCCATCTCATATATGAAGACAACATATTGTTACAGCTAGATATGATACAACTTAATGCGTCTTCGTTTTTCAGCAGCTTATATGGCGTTTGATTGATTGTTTTCTTGATAAGTCGAAGGAATTTTCCAGAGAAAAAAGTTGCATCTGTCAAGATTCAAGTAACATCATCCTGGTAAGAGTCTGGTTGTGGGAATAAATTTGTATGGCTATTTATGAAAAGATTTGCAGTATCTCAACTACTTTTCTTTAGTTAATGAACATAAATTTCTAGCTTATCTTTGAAATTTTTTTTAGTTATAATACTGGTATGTCCTTTTTTGGTCCAGCCTGTGCGCACCTTAACTAACTCTCAGGAGCCATTAAATATTCTACAAGTCTCAATGCAGTTTAAACTTAAGAAATCAATAAAGAAAGAAAACTTTCTTGATTGTCAGGCCAACCTTAGGGTTATGATACTGGTATTTCCTTTCTATAATTAAGATGCTTTTACAAAAATATTTGGTGGTCAAGAAGGTTAATTTGCTCCTTTCATGGACTTTTTGAGTTCAAACCATCTTGGAGTCATTTACCAGACTATCACATTTATGGCTTACTTGAAATATTGGATTTGTAGGGCGTTCAATAAGAGCTTATAGAGTGTTTAATAAGCTCTAGAGATTAATTGAAGTGCCTGTAAACTGAGTCAGACACTTTGATGTTATTTCAATAGTGAATGGATTTATTAATTTAGAACTGCTCCGAATAGTTCATCTATAGTTCTCATGCTGTAAAGAATAAATAGGAATTATTAATTATTATTTTCTCTGAGATATTTTTTTTATTTTATTAGTATTTTAAAATCTTGGTATCTATTGTCAAATGAACCACCTGCCCTGCTAAACATAATTATCATCTAAATTGTCAATCAGATGACCTTATAATTTACATTGAATTGTCATACTAATAAAGAGTTTAATTATAGGAGTGCTTGACTTCATCACTTCATATAATTAAATTCAAAATAAAAGTTTATATTAGCCGTATACATCAAAAAATTAACCAACTTTATAATAATATATATGTAACCTACATGAATCACATGCAACATTAATATTTATTAAAAATGTTAATTACTAAGATGAGTGAACATAAGAATTAAATTATTTTATAATTGCTGACTTACATTTGAAATATTTTGCAGTTTCATATAATTTTATATAATTAAGAGAAATCTTTAATAAATTAATTAGGAGATTTTAATGATAAGATAAAGAGTTAATAATTTCAAAATTGATTTCTATTGACAATTGGCTAATAATTAATTAAACCTTTCAACAATTATAAAGTCAACTAGATATCTTCTAAAAAATATTAATTATAATGCCGGCTTAGTAACGGCAGTACCAAATATTATCAGAATTTTTATATATTTATTTTAATGTTTAATGAAATGAGGATTTATTTTGTTTTATTTTTTAAAAGGTGAAGAGTAAAACTTGAGCATCCGAACTGTCAGAACTCAGAAATGGACCCACTGGGCCCACCGTTGGATCGGCCCATTTAAACATCCTAAATTTGTAATATTCCGAAAAAATCAGGGCCAATCTTATCCACAAAAAATAAATAATAAAATAGAAATAAATAATTAATTAATCACTCCACTCGATCTGCCTCGGCCCCTATAAATAATAAATAAAACTGAAGCAACGACCCCTTACTATCCACACGACAATAACAAGAAGAACAGCAATACCACAGACGACAACAATGGAGAGCTGAGAAGTTTCTCTTCTCTGTTGTTCACTTATTCTTTTCTTCCACGTGTGGAAATTGCGGGAACATGAAGTTCTTGTTGGAGCTAGTGTCGTGTTGTGGATCACCCGAGGCGGGCGGAGCCAGTCCCGTGGCGGAGCGTGTGGAGCCGAGAGTGGAGGAAACGAGGTCGTTGATGCGCCGGAGTTACCGCCGGAAGAGACGGGGGAGGTCTGGCTGTAGCGGCGGTGCTTCGGCAGAGGAATGGAAGCCGTCGTTGTGTTCGATTTCTGAAGATTTTGTGATGGACAGGACCAAAAGCGAAAGAGAGAGAAGCTTTAAAAGGAAAAACGGTGGATCGCAGCGAGACAAAGCTCGCGTTCGTAGCTGTAGCCGCGATTTCGGGTAACTTGTTAATTTTTCCGATATTTCCTTTTGAAAATGATTATTTAGATAACGATTAATTGGGTGAGGAGATAACAAAATTACTATAGAAACAATACAATAGATTTAATCATTCGGGAACAAAATAATAAAGCAGTAAAGACAGAGTGTCGTATATTTTTCAATTTCTGTTTTGAGTCTTAACATGACATGAATTTCTATGGTGTTTTGAGTTTTCATATCTTGTCTATTTATAAAAAAATTTCTTCATTTTATTTATTTATTTATTTTTATGTGCAGATTGTATTTAACAAGTTGAATTTGAACTCACTGGGTAATTTT